AAATGTGTCCAAAGACACTACGACGTTACGAGACACGGCTGTGTTACAAAGGTCAGAAGCTGACAAAAGAAGAAGACATTTAATATTTCCGAAAAAAAAGCTGAATTGGTCGCAGGAAACCTGTCCAATTCAACGCTTAATTAACAGATAAAGGAATTTCCCCACACAGTTGTGCAATACTTACCTAAAGGGCAAAACAGATTTGAATAGTGGTTTTTTGTAAAGAAAATCAGCAATTATAAGACGGGGACGAAAGTACACCGACAAAAAGAAGAACGAAGACGAAAAAATGGAGAAGTCCTGACAACATCAGAACGACTAAGTATCAAATAAATCTTAAATCACAAATCGGCCATCTAATTTTTTAGAATACGAGGAACACAGCGGATGCCATCAAAGACGTTAACTCACACCTTTAAAAGTGAAATGACGTTACACGAACGAAATGGATGAAAATATTTATATTTTATCAAGACCAACGACTTCAGAATTTTGTAAATACAATAGAAACAAAAAATGCCACTATTGAACCTCGACTCTACACCGGATTACTGGCCATTCGCATATAAACCCGTCCACTCTTTAGCTTTTTGAATTGCCTCACTTTCATGATTCTTCCATTGTTCTGCAACATCAGCCGCCAGCGGATCGTCTGGGTTCGGTGCCGAAAGCAATGCCTGAATCGAAAGCAGCACTGTACGAATCTGGAGGGCAGGCGACCATTTATCTAAAAAACTATGTTGCAGAATTACAAACATCATAAAACCTCTTTTGCTCTAACGAGTAGAAAATCATCCGGAAAAACCAAGTCTATTACACTACCTTACCTAGTCCACAAAAGCCTCCTTACAAATAGCACAACATTTACGCATAATTTTATGAATCTAGTGAGAAAAGGTTTTTAAACAACTTTTTATTGATCCTCACTTCTTATTAAAAGAGACTAGAACTCTTCGGAATTCACCACAAAGCTTCCCACCATCTTCCTACCTTAAAGTACCCATCTCGCTAGCTTCCTAAGAAACCTATCCTAACCCGTCTGTTTGGAAGCGCTGCCTTTCACATATACTTTGCAATCAGTCGCGGTGTTTACCAGTGCAGGAGTCACAAACCCATAGTGGAAAATTAATATAATAAATTGAATCATACAAGCCTAGAACGTCGATCCCAAAGTCAATTTCAGAAAGTGCAAAAATGTTGACATATTCTGAAGAAAATTTAGTTTCTAATTCTGTTGCTCAAACGCTATTTCTTAGGAGCATCCTTTTGAGCACACAAGAACAAACCAAGCAATACTAACTCCTGTAACCCCTTCCTCTCAGCACTAATTGGACCCAATGTTTTCTTTGTTCTATCTTTATCAGAAAGCCTCACTTCGCAGTCTTGTTGCTCCCCATCCCTATATTCCATTCCAACTACAAAGATAAAGTAACATTCATTTTTGAGAATTCAAATATTATTGTTCCTGCACATAAATAACCTACAAAATACGATTTTAGAAGTGAATAAATTAGAATCTTCCAGTCTGACAATTTAAAAGATGAAGTCTTTACTTGTTATACTAAATCTTAACATAAATTCAGAAGGCCTATTAACTAACAAACAGATCCCTAGTCATACATTTAACTACAAAAGTCCCATCTGATTTAAAAAATTAAACATAATTTCACATTTCCACCAAGTACAACTACACAAGAGCAGACTTTTGAATGCTGTCGCCCCACCAGAGGAGAACCACTGAACAATGAAATTTTTCGCAACAGTACATCACCATAAAAACTGTATGCGAAAGAATTCAATAACAGGAACAGCCATACTTTTGCACAACATATGAAGCACCACTTAACATTAAGGCCTTCTTTCCCACTGGCCTACCGCTCATAGCAAACTACTCACTAATCAAAAACTGCAATGTAAAACAGGTTAAATCATAAAAGAAATTTACCTTTTAGGATATCCAGACATATTCTACCCAGTTTGTCAATATTTGGATGATAAATCTTGGTCATAAACCGAACTTTAGGCGCAGCCATAGGATACTCTTCAGGAAGAAACAATTCTAATTTAAAAACACCTCCTGCAAATGGACTTCCTTCTGGTCCAGCAATGATGACATGAAAATATCGCGCGTTATTATCATCTGGAATTGCAGATATCCCAGGCACCGGATCTGCCATAAGTCTCTGCGTTTCCTTGGTGATGCGCCGCGGTAATGCGCCCGCCATGTTTCACCTCGAGAGTAACTTCAAAAAAAACTGAAATGATTCGAGTAAAGAAAAGTTAACATATAAAGATTAGAATCTGAAGAAGTCGAAATATTATTGCACGTTTGA